ATCAACCTAGATGAAACTTTTTTCACCTTTTTCCTGCCTTTCTCCCCCTTCTCAGAAACATTTAGACCTACCCTATGGCGATGACTATCGGGAAGTCTCTGCCCTGTATATCAGGATAGCACAAATAATTCAGCATAAAGCAGCCCAGTTCCTGTAGCCTGGCATTAGGATAAGTATATCTTAAGAAAGTTCTTATGCAGACTTGGCTTCAGGCAATAAAACGTCATAGACGTATAACTGTAGCAAGTGAAATTTCTAGGGAGCAAATTAGGCTGAAAACATCTTCTAGAGACGGCTAGAAAGGAATCGTACACCACCCAAAATAAGGCAAGTTATGCAGTAAATGTTTCATTTATTGGCCTTCTTCCATTACTATTAGGGTTAAAAGACATCTTGTCAATAAGAAAAGTATATTTATGGAGGACTGATGTCTTTCAGAAAGGTGTTCCTGTCACAAATGCCTATAGCAGTAGTAATCATCTTATGAAGGCAGGCGATGAAACCCTGAACAAATGCATACATCTCCGCATTAACCCTTGGATCATCAGGCATTATTGTCACTTTATTACCTGGGCCCGTTATTAGCTGAAACAAGGTGATCAAGCCAGGCACTTCAGAAAAATGTCAGAACAGAAGAGTGTTCCTCAGGGTTTCAAGAGTAGGGTGTGTGCCTTTCCAAGTCCCTTGACAGAACCATTGCGGGGGGAAAAGAATGCTTGCGAAGTGGGTACTTTTGCCTACCCCTTCCTCCTGCTAAAATTGAAAACTCTTGGGTGTCTGATTTTTAATGTTCCTGTGCTGGCTAAGGGAGTAGCTTTCCTCAAGGTCCAAATAAGGAACCATCACCCACGCAGAACAAAAAGCAAACAGAGAATCTCACAGTGGAATCAGGACTTTGGCTTCTAAACATTTCCCCATTTTATAGCTTCCTTATGTTTTCAGATTCTTTTTTTGGCTTCCCTCAGCACACTCCCTGCATAGATAAGTCCAACACAGTGGGTAACAGATCATCCATCTTGGAGCCTGGATCTTTAAAGAAAAATCATACAGGAACACAAATACACACACCCACATGTGTACATATCACCGCCAAGGGTAATTTAGTAGAATCTTGCCAAGTGATTGGGGGAGCTGAATATGGCTGTCAACATGTATTCCCCACTTCTGGTAAATCTAGCAAACTATCTTTGTTTTTTCCTAAATTCTAAAGCCAAGCTTTCAATGTGGTTTGTCTTTGCTGGTATGCCATGAATCTCTTAGCCATGACTTGGGTATAGGGTAGAACTATGGACTCATGGACCCTTTTAATATTAAAAAGAACCTAAGAAAATATCCAGTCCACCTCACCCCCCCACGTAAGACAAGACTAAGGAGCCACAGGTAACATGGCCTATGGCCAGCCTATTTCTGCAGTCCCCACATTCCACATTCCCGTTTCAGTGGGCACCTAACACTCCACTGAAACTCCCCCATGGGGAAACAGCACCTGAAAGGTGATTTATATAATCTGTAACTTCCTTTGCACACTCATTGGTAGGGATGAACAAGGAAGTATCCCCGGAAGAGCTAACCTGTTCACTTAAGTTTTACGGTAAAAGGCAGCTTGCTAGTATCTATACATATTCACAGAAAAAGATTTAATCGAAGGAAGGCTGGGGGCTGGGGGTAAGAAAACAGAGAAGCAAAGAAACCAAAGGGCAGTGGAGGAAGAGGAGGAGGTGAAGGTTAGGGAGGCTGAGGGACAGCTACTTATAGTTTGGGAGCTAGCTGGCCCCAGGAACAGGCTCCAAGGGATGAAGGCACAGCTTCTCCCCCATGCCACCCTCCTTTCAGTCTGCAGAGGCCATGGTGGCAAAATCTCCTGGCTCAGGTAAAGTCAGATCTGGTCTGGTTTCCTATGTTTTTAGAATCTCTGCCATTTGGGCAGAACTCTTGGTCCTATAAACCAGGAGTCATCAGTATCTAGAGAAAGAAGTTGCCTCAACACTTGGACACAAGCCAACTGTTGTGTAAAAATTCATACCAAATCTATAAATTACACATTCACAATTGTGGCCCAACCTGACTTCTTTTTTTGGAATATTGTATCACCTTGCTTCTTGCCAATTGCAGTTCCAATTTCGTCCCCCTTCCCCTCCTCAATTCAGGCATCACCTGAAGCCCTTCCAGAGACTCAGGGGTATTGACTTTCTGAGATCTTGCTGGTCTGCTCATGCCTTTTTATGGCACTAAGCAATGAAATTAGATGTGGCACATGTGCTATCATAGAATAACTTTTAATTGCTTAATTAAATCAGAGACTTAAGGAAGGAAAGATTCAAAAGAGTTCCCTTCGAATGAGAAAAATAAGGATATGCCAAAATGGATGAGGTTACTAATCATCGGAAGAAAGCCTCTTAGTATTTACATATGATAAAAATGCAGACCAGTACATTAAAAACAGTAAGTATGCTTTTAAAAATTTCAATTCAGTATATTTATGAGCTTTTATTATACAGGTAGTCCTATAAAGGACATAGAAGACCTCATTATACCACTTAATTCAAATCAGGGTTAGATTAAAAAAAAACCACACAGGACAAAGAAATTGCCATAAAATTGAGTTACCATAAATGTGTTCCAGTTTAAGTAAATAAGCCCCTAAAACAGGCCTTAGGAAAAGTCTACACTGTATATAGATAGACCAAGTATACAGGTGACAATTAGCAAGTGTGTAAAGCTATGGTCATTTCACTAAATGTGTAAATTTAAAGGCGACCAAATGAAAAGACCCAAAAAAGGAAACTGTTAAATCCATTTGTACATGGATTTAACAGTGAAGCATTTCATTCTTCATGTTTTTACTTGGTGTCTTGAAATAATCCCCTTTCTGTCTCCACTCTCCCTCTTAGACACTGCGCCCGCCTTATTTATTTATGAAGTCTGAAGGTTAGTCCTACCTGCTGAGACTAATTAGCCCTGTGCTTTGTATCCTATGCAATCCTGTCTGATTAAACGTACACATTTGTTTTACTTCTTTTTAGGCTCCTTCTCATCTACTTCTGATTTTGTGATTAATATTAAAGTTTGGAGTTACAGTGATTCTCCTCTTGCCCCCCCCCCAACCCATTTTTATTTCACCTGCATCTTATTCTTTAGTGTGCAAATGTGGTTGTGAATTTTTCTCAGTGCAGGGGAATTCGCTGGCCTTGTCAATCTCGGCATCATTATTTTTAGTAGTCTTCTTTCTGAGACCTTAGCCTATGAAACAGTTTTGCTGAAACCCCAAACTCTCTAAATATTACATGGTAAATTTGCTTTCTTTTGGAAACCTAGGTGCTGGTGGGCCAGCTGAGGACCAGGTGAGCTTTTTAAAGGAAAGGTGGGGTAACAGTACATTGTGGACTCTATACCAACACTGCTTCTAATAGGCAATTTGCTAATTCTTATTGATTTATTTCTTTTCTGGTTCTTTTTGTCCCCTTTTCATGTTGTAGTGTCCAGCAGTCCACTGCTCATTGGATATTTGCAAGAAAATGAACATTCTTCCTCCATCACTCAGAACCGTGTTTTGGGAGCTGGGCCTTTCCCCTTTAACATAATTCTGTTCCCCATTTTGTAGCAAATCAATCTGCTCCCCCCCAGGGTTCGAATCTAAAAGTCAACAAATACCTGCCTCACACCCCAGCTTTCCCATCTCCTCGGGGAGGTCTTCAGCTTGGGCTTGGTTAGCAATTTCCTGCCAGAGCCATCTACATCTTCATTATTTGGTCAGTCTTTTGGAGGATTTCATTTCAGACCCCCTTCGAGAAAGGCTCCAGCCCAACTGATCCAGGGGTTGGTGAACTTTCAGTTTTATTTTCCCCAGCGGTGTTAACGCCCAAACTTTTCACCTCCAAAGTCAGAAAGGACTTTGAATCCTAGCTCATTTCCTACCGCCTCCAACGTCAGTTAAAAAAAAAAACAAAAAAACCCCACACTACTCTACATTTAAAAGAATCATATATATTTTCTTAAGGATATTTTTAATGCCCCCTGACAAACACTACAGTATTTGATTGTTTTTTTGGATAAAAAGTCATCTTGGCATATTTACCCTAGTGGGACTTACTTAACATTTAATGAAATGATTCACTATTAATAAACAAAAAAAGGGAGGAGGGAGACCTCGTGGGTCACTAGTTTCTTTCACTGTGAGATGACCAGGAACTTTGCCCAGCCCTTCACTTCCCCAAGCTCTCAGAAAGTGGAGGGTTGATCTTTCCTTTTGACCACTTCTGTTACAGCCCGCCCAAGGGTGGCCGATTTCACTGCTGGATTAACCACGAAGCACCCCCCGTCCTTTCCCACAACACTTCCCTCCTTTTCCCCTTCCTTGAGACTTATTTCTAATATTTCTGAAGCGCACTTTTTCTGGGCCTCTCCGCATCCCCGCCCCCCAAGTGGGCTTTCCTTCCGCCTTCCGCGGCTCGGATTCCTGACTCGGGCGGTCGCCACCCCCTTCCCCTCCTCTGCCACTCCGCATTGTCTTTCTGAAACCGCCCCCCTCCCGGAGCGAGTCCCCGCACCCTCGCCCCGACTCTCCGGCTCGCTCGCACTGCGCGGAGGCCGCTCCCCCTGCACACTCCTCCCTCCGCTCCTCTCCCTGCCCGCCCCTCTCCTCCTCCTCCTCTCCCTCCTCCCTCTCCCGGAGCCCTAAAGGATCATTGTTAGCCGCCCCCGCCCCGCCCACCCCGCTGTTTATTTATGCACACGTCACCGAGCCGGCCCCGCCCCCCGGCATCTCATTAAGGCGAGTGTGTTCCTCTCGCCCTGTCAATAATCTCCGCTCCCAGACTACTCCGTTCCTCCGGATTTCGATCCCCCTTTTTCTATCTGTCAATCAGCGCCGCCTTTGAACTGAAAAGCTCTCAGTCTAACTTCAACTCACTCAAATCCGAGCGGCACGAGCACCTCCTGTATCTTCGGCTTCCCCCCCCCTTTGCTCTTTATATCTGACTTCTTGTTGTTGTTGGTTTTTTTTTTTACCCCCCTTTTTTATTTATTATTTTTTTGCACATTGATCGGATCCTTGGGAACGAGAGAAAAAAGAAACCCAAACTCACGCGTGCAGAAGATCTCCCCCCCTTCCCCTCCCCTCCTCCCTCTTTTCCCCTCCCCAGGAGAAAAAGACCCCCAAGCAGAAAAAAAAAAGTTCACCTTGGACTCGTCTTTTTCTTGCAATATTTTTTTTGGGGGGGGCCAAAACTTTTTTGGGGTGATTTTTTTTTTTTTTTTGGCTTTTCTTCCTCCTTCATTTTTCTTCCAAAATTGCTGCTGGTGGGTGAAAAAAATGCCGCAGCTGAACGGCGGTGGAGGGGATGACCTAGGCGCCAACGACGAACTGATCTCCTTCAAAGACGAGGGCGAGCAGGAGGAGAAGAGCTCCGAAAACTCCTCGGCAGAGAGGGATTTAGCTGATGTCAAATCGTCTCTAGTCAATGAATCAGAAACGAATCAAAACAGCTCCTCCGATTCCGAGGTAGGAAAAGCCCCCCGGGCTGGTGGGGTATTTTGTCTATTTCCTGGGCTCGGCGACGGTCGCCGAGAGGGGAGAAACCGGGGCTGGGGGCGGCGGCGGGCCCAGCGGGCGGCGGGTGCGTCGTGCGGGGCCACCATGGCAAAAACTTGTGACCCTGTTTTCTCTCTCCCCCCACCCCGCTGACTCTTTCTCCCCCTTCTGCCCCCGCTGCCTGGCGTTTGCCCCCTCGCCCTCCCCTCTTCCACCCCTCCGGGAAGGCGGAAAGACGGCCTCCGCCTCGCTCCGAAAGTTTCCGAGATAAATCCCGGGAAAGTTTGGAAGAAGGTGAGTACGCCCCGCGCGTCCCGCAGCCGCCCCCCGCCGCCCCCCGGGCCGGCCGCCCCGCGCACCCCGGCCCCGCGCCCCACTCGGCTCGGCCGTGCGCCGGCCCTGCCGGGGCGCCCGGCCCCGCGGGGCACTTTCTAAAAAGTTTCTCCTCCTCTCTCCCGCTCCGCGCGGCCGTCGCCGTCCCCTCGCCGCCCCGCCATGTTAGCGGCCAAGAGGCAAGATGGAGGGCTCTTTAAGGGGCCACCGTATCCCGGCTACCCCTTCATCATGATCCCCGACCTGACGAGCCCCTACCTCCCCAACGGATCGCTCTCGCCCACCGCCCGAACCGTAAGTGCCTCCGCGCGCGGCCCCCGCCCGC